GAAACCACTTCACAGTGTTTTGGAGACCTTAACAGTCTCAAAATTCATGAATAAGAGAGATACAGAATGAGTACAGTACTGAGAGTTGGAACATTAGGCAAGCTCAGAAGGCACCTGAAGAATTAGGTATCAGAGGAGGGAATGCCTGGTTTCTGAGTCTCATATTGTTTTAGAAGCATAGAATCATAAACTCATTTGAGTTGGAATGGACCCTTGAAGGTCATCTAGTCGAACTCCCTTGCAGTGAACAAGGACACCTACAGCTTGATCAGGTGCTCAGAGTCCAGTCCAGCCTGACTCCAAATGACTCCAGGGATGGGGCATCCACCACCTCTGCAAGTAATGTGTTCATGTGCCTAACTGCTCTTACTGTAACAAACTTCTGCCTAATATACAGTCTAAATCCCCCCTCTTACAGTTTGAAACCATTTCCCCTTGTCCTGCTAAAGAGTCTGTCTCCTTCTTCATAACAGCCCCCTTTTAGACACTGAAAGGGCACTGTCAGATCTCCCTTTAACTGGTCAGAGAACACATAGAATAGGGTTCAGTTCCCTTTGCATTAGACATGAAGGACGTGAACAGCATCAGTGTCTGACTTGTATTGACTTGTAGATGTCTAATCTGGGATAGAGTTACCAAAGCTTTTAGCTCTGGCAAGATTACTGTGGAAGTGGCAGTGGACCAGAAGTACTTCAGACGGCAAGGGTGCATCACAGAGAGAAAAGGTAACTGCAGCCTTCCAAATATCTGCATGAAGCAAGTGTTTTTGCTTTTGTTTTAAAGCAGTGAGGGTCCTTTTCCATTCACCAATGCACTTCAGGTTACTAACCGCTGGATCTGAGAGAACATGGGAATCTGACACCTAGAATTAACTGAAAAGCACACTTCTAGGTGCGTTTTGGTTCAACAGGTTTCAAAATCTATTTCTCTAAAATATAATACTTCCAGAGGTATCTATTTCTATTGATTGTAATAGAAACTTAGATGACAAGCACTTAGATGACAAGCTCATACTTCCTAAACTTTTAGATGTCTAAACTTAGGTGAGACAAGTCCCACCTGAGGTATTCAATCTAATACCACTATGGAGATATTCATTTTAATTATTTAAAGGGATTTCTATTCTAATTAATGAAAGGGAAGGGCATGCTGAAAAGATAATTTATCCCATTCTAGCACAAACAGGTAAGGGCAAGAAAGCATGAAGCTCTAGAAATGTGTCTCCTTTTTAGGAAGACATTTGCAGTAGATTAAAATTTTTTAGACTGTTAAAGCTAAATCAAGTGAAACATAATCTTAATTCCTACTTGCCATATTTGTCTTAACACACACACACACACACACACACCACACACAAAAAAAAGAAAAAAAAAAAAAAAAAAGAAAAATTAGCTAGCAGTACTGCTTTACCCTTCCAGAAACAAGAATTTCTGAGGTACCATGGTATGAAATCATCAAAGATATGCAAAAGTAGTATGATATTTAGCCCTGCATACTAGCATAAACACTATCGAAATTTTGAAATTTTGGTATTAGTGATAGTGGATGGAGAAGGGTTTATTCTGCGTGGGTGAAGGAACAAGGCCACATCTTTGATGTGTTGTGCAGAATGACTCTTCAACATTTGGCTATTGCCTGGATGTGAAGACAAGGAGAGAAAGAGAAAACTGAGCTGAAGATGATGCCTAGGTAGGAGCATGACTGACAGGCAGGATGATAATGTTGTCCACAGTGATTGAAATGGAGGTGAAGGAGAGAGGAGGCGGAGTTTGGGAGGAAAAGTTTAAGAGCTCTGTTTTATACATTGTGAGCTTGATTTGACAGCTAGGCATCCATCCATTAGGAGAGGCTGGAAAGACAGGCCAAGTTTGGACAGGAGTCAATTCTTTAGTAGAGAAGTTAGATCTGCAAACTGTCACTTCAGAAATGGTCGCTGAATTCATGTTGGTGAACAAGGATGCTGAGGACAAGAGCTGGATGAAGAAGTGAAGAGAATCAAGGGAAGAGACCTGTTTATGCCCCTTATGGGTGAGGAAGAAACGTGCGAAAGGACAGAGTAACCATAGCTGAAGGTAAAGGGCAAATTATAGTTAAAAATACATGCAGAAGTACATGAAAATGATGATCTCTCACTAGGGAGGACATGAAGGACAAGTGTAACACTATTCTAAAGCTGATGAGTTGATAGACAATATAATTTAAAAAGACCCAAAAATAAAGCACTCTTGGCAGGTAGATACAGAGGGAACTTTGGGCCTGCTCAGAAGTAAGGGATTTTGGGAAAGTTATTTCTCAAACCAATTGCTTTGTGCTCAAATTTGGAAATTGTATACCTGCTTGTATACCTGCTTAGGAGAAAACAGAGCCTTGCATGGAGAAGTGGGCTTGTGACGGATGACAGTCAGGCACCTGTCCAAGGAAAGGTTAATAAAAAGAAAAAAAAAGAAAAAAACTTTCATAAAAGAAAGTTGCCTTTTGAAACTATTAGGGAACATATGTTGTGTGAACAGGAAGTCACAGTAGAGCAATAATCCTGACAGCTGTGGAGAAACAGGAGTCTGCCGCAGGAATGAACGGCTCGAGACCTGACAAGAACGATGATGGATGCCCCGTTGGTAGTACACGAGGACAAGGCAGGAGACGTTTAAATTGGCTGAACCACAGGAACAACTTTGAGTTGGCATCACAGTCAGACAAATGAGGCCAGTCCTAATGGCGAGAGAAATGGGAGGGGGAGCTGGAGGAAGATGGCAGCAACACGCCCCTCCTTTCCAAGGACGAGGCCTACATCGCCATCTCACCACGAGGTGGCTGCATTTCTCTGTGAACACCCAAGCCCTGAATGAAGCTGCATGCAAACCCCGAAGCACCCTGAAAATGAGAATGAGAGCGGTGAACACTTGCAGAATTTGGCCCATATCTTTCCAAGTGTCCAAATTGTTCTGAGGCCCTCTGTGAATAGCGCTGTGTGCTCAATGTCTTGATGAAGTGTCAAGTCACTTGACAGGTCCTCACTAGTTTGTTGAGCCATGGTAACTGTCTGTGTACCTGCTAATAGCTCATGGGAAATGTGAGGAAGTGTCACATAATTTAGCTCAAAACAAAGAGGTCAAAACATAATTTTCTCCTTGCATTTTCTGTGAACTAATAGCATGTGCATGGAGTACTGCTGAGGTTCAGCTGATTCATGGAAACTTGTCAAGTCATTCAAATTTATGAGTGTGGAATGTGTTTAGTGAGAGTTAAAGTGCAGTGCTTTTTAGAGACCTAGATCTGATTATTCAAGAACCACGTGTTAGGTTATTCTAAAGCAAGTATTTGATTAAATAAGTCAACAAGAATAATGGTCCCATGAAAAACTGACAGAAAGGCCATATTCTGCACTACTTTTTTTTTGCACATCCTCAGTTGACTTCAGCAGCATGGAACAAAAATTTGTTCCAAGGTGGTTGAGATGGGTACTTCTTCTTATCTGAACAGTGCTGACAATAGGAAGGATAAGAATATTTTGGATATAGTAGATCTAGATAAAATCTTCAACTCTCCTTGGATTTTTTCTGCTTTCTTCTCTGTTTTGCTCTCATCAATATCACCCAAATTTCTAAGGGGACTGGAACTGACATTTTATTACACTGTCTAGTGATTAAGACTAAAGACTCTGGAATTGCCATTACTGATGTCATCTACAGACACTATCACTTTGGATGATAGTTTTTAAGACATTAGAATACTTCATTGACCTATTCCAGGAAAGATGATCATATTTCACAATGCGGTTTTCAGCAATAAGCCCCCCATGTTGTTATATTCTAGAAAGTCTCCAAGTCTTGATTGTAAGAATTCAAAAAGTGGATACCCCACCTTCTAATACCTTCATTAGCAAATGTGTACCATTCTCTAATCCGATTTATCTAAGCATGGGTTCTAAAAAATAAGATTTAATGATTTGCTTCTTCTTATCAGAAATCTCTTTCCATGAGAAGAACTTTCCATTTCCATCTCTACACAGACTTAGAGACAAGCTGCCCATCTGCCAGGTCTATTTTAATATTATTAGGATAAACTCATGAATTGAGATTAGAGGTCCTTACTAAAACAAAGACTTTGCTATATTAAATATTTAAGAACGAGAATCCCTGTATCCTTTACAAGTTTTCAGCGTGCTTCTCAGACCTCCATAATTTACACCACAAATAATTAGTAACAAAAATAATAAGCCATTAAAATAAACCCAAACATACTGAATTAGATTGTCTTTCTGTACTGATAATGGAATGACTTACATTCCTTCAGGTCTGCATCGCGGTTTACAAGAATCATTCTGCACAGAAAATACATTTGCATTTTAATTTCCACTTCCTGAGCTATCAGTTTGGAAACCTCATTTTACAAAACATTAGCCCAAGCAGAGTGATCCCTCAAACATTTCCCGGGAGCATCAGTAGTTTGACAGACTGTCTTTCAAATGCTGGATGTAGGGAAGACCACATTTATGCTGAGGTAGACTCTTATGCAGTAGCATAGAAGTGTACTTCTCTGTGTTGTGTCTCTGGCATCTACTGCCATTACGTGAACATGCTGTTTTCTGCTCAATTCTGGCAAAAAGTTTTTCTTCCTTCACATAGAAGCAGGGACTCTTTGTGGAAGGAAAACAAAGAAGCCCTTAGGTACAAATTTGTGCTTTATTCATCTCTCTGCAACTTAGATAAGTGGCTCATGGTGATTTTGATTCAAATGTGGTGCATATTTGGCACCTCTGAACCATGTCTTTTTTTCCAGTGCATCAAAACTGCTGGTGACAGAACATATCACTCCTTGGGGTTCTGTGCTTTCGTGAAATGACAGCATCATCCTGGCATTTCCTTTAATGAGTTAAACACACCCAAAGCTCCACATGCCATCTTCCTATAGTGTGAGTAGCAGATCATACATAAATCATTCCTCCTACCATATCAGGCCATGGGACCAATTCTTGCTTTTCATGTTACAGAGCTACTCACCGGCATTGTCTGGCTGCCATGCAAGGCATTGATAGCTGCTTGGGCCTCTGCATGCGAAGAATATTTCACAAATGCACACCCTAGAAAAAGAAAAAGAAGAACATAAGAAAGGTTCCGTGGCTACCAATGTCAGAACATTTAAATATTTTATCTTGTCCTCAGAACTGGTGATAGAGAAGGTAGTGCAGAAAGCATAACAAGCAAACTGGTTATTCCTTTCCAAAGTCCAGCCATAGGCAGTTCAAGGACTTTTTGAGGCAAAGCTAGATAGTTCCATGCTGCTTGCATATAATTTGGGTGGACACAAACTTAGAGAGAACCTTCTGAAACGACTTATCTTTTGACCTTTATAGCTTCCCATGTTAGCACTGCACAATTTTATAATTTACTGTGTGAAAATGACTTTCCTTTTATTTGTATTAAACATACTGCGGAACACTCCTCTCTCCAGTGTTCTGGAAAAGAGTAAGGAAATGAACAAAAGCAGAAAGCTTCCCATTCCTGTTACAAGTCACCACAGGACAGCTGTAGGGAAGGCATTCAGCTTGTTTCAAATACACAAGGTATCTGTCTTATATCACTGCTTGGTAGAAGTCCACTACAGAGGCTGCTCAGATCTTGTCCTGGCTCCGAGCAGCTTTGGTCTGACAAAGCATGCCATATCTTCTGATAAACAAATGAAAATGGAATAGATATGCATGTGATGACTGCCATCTTTCTACCACTGAAACCTGAATTATACAGTGAATATTATATCATAAGCTACTTTACCACGGCTTTCCTGTACACATCAGAGAAATGTGGGCAGTGCTCCTCTAGCCTACACTGCCATGTGAAGAATCTCACACTGTCTGAACTCTTACATAAGATTCCAGGGCAGAAAGGTGCCTTTATGAATATATGCTAGAGTGCAGAAATGATCAACACTTCAAAGGGTCACATGCATCACAAGAGTGGGGGAAAGTATTGCTAACACTCTTAGCTACAAGCAAATTGACTCAGAGGGAGGAATAGTAATTTCCATATGCTAAGGAGGATTTTGGAACAGATTGGAAGAGATCTGAGAAGTTCTGGCTTCCATCCCCTTTCATTACTATTAAAGACTCTTGAGCTTTTAATCAATTTGCAAAGCCCTAGTTGTTTCCCTGAAGGAGTGCAGAACACTCATGAGGGATGCCAGCCCTGACAACAGGACAGCTGTCCTTCATTTCCTTTGTAGAATCTTTAGAAGGTCAACAAACCATCACGGATCCATGCAGTGCATGGTGGGAACTGCAGCACTACAATAGCTCACTTACAAAAGTAGAAGAATGAGCCCCGAAGGTGTCTATAATCATCACTATGAGCTGGCAGAAGTGGAATCAAAGAAAGCAATGATAGTCCCCTTCTAAAAAGAACACATACGTATGCTACACATACAGTAGCTATCAGCTACTGGTTAGGATGCCTTCACTTTGCATTCCCTCATACCCCTGTGCTCAGACTGTATTTCAGGAGAAGCATAATGATTGTTGCTAATAGTAGGATCTAATTTACAAGGAGCTGAGAGGAGACAATCACAGGAAAATGAGATAGATAAACTTCAGCTACAAACAATGGAGATCAATTATGACATAATCGCAGCCCAGCATTCCCAGGCTCCTGAGATTCTGTGCCTCCCTCTTCATTAATCAGAGATAATCCAGAATTAGGATGTTTAATTATTTGCACAGATTCTTTTGTACTTTATGACTCTAAAAATAAGATGCTTATTAGCAAATATACAAAGGCTTTCCAAAATCAGTTACCCACTGCATTTAGAGGAGAATTTTTGGCTACAGCGTTGCTGTCATGTTGAGGGCTTCACTCTTTTCAGGTGAAATTCACCTCTGTGCTGAGGAACCTGATGGATGAGTGGAGCTGGATAAAGGTGGGAATGAGGGGAGCAGGAGGCATTTGTCTTGTTTAATGCCTTATATGCTAATGAGAGTCCTCCATTGCTTTTTCCTACTGCTTCCTACTTGGATTTTGAGACAGAAGGACAAATGAAAACTCAGTTTTCACATATGTATAATGTCAAAGAAACATTTTGTTCCCTTTGTGTGCTCAATCGGATGGCTTTTGTACACAACATGAAATGTGTACACAATTATCCCTCTGCCCTTTGCCACCAGGATTGTGCCCAGGATCTCATGAGCTGAGAATATGAGTCACAGCACTCCTCAAAACAATGGTGTCCTTGTGACAGGAGCAGTTCTGGAGTTAGAAGGGATTTTGACACCCAGAGAGATATATAACCAGGCTGAGCAGGGAGATACATGTGCACAGGTGTTGGGCTTTGTGGGTTTTTTTTGGTGTGTCTGTTTTTGTTATTGTTTTTTTTTGTTTGTTTTGTTTTGTTTGTTTGTTTGTTTTTTGTTTTGTTTTGTTTTTGTTTTTCTCTTTCTTTTTCTTTCCTTATTTCAAGATTATAGAGCTGGAAGGGCTGCTCTGACTATCTTGTCAGCTGTCCTGCAAGAACAGAGGAGACTGCAGAGTCAGGGCCTAAGGTATCATTGGAGAAGGTGTTAGACTCCACTTGCAGGACTTCTGGTGTAATGGGAAGTCTTTGCTTTCTGAGATACTAAAAAAGACTACTGCTGAATTAGAAAATAAAAATAAATTATATGAGAAAACAATAAGGAGAGTATCCAGAAAGCAGCAACGCAGACACTATGGGTCCTGCTGGATTGTTAAACTGGATCTAATCTCACTGTGGCTTTCACACCTGTGGAATCCTGTGATCCTGTATGCACACTGTTAAGCTTTACTCAGATTGATGTAGGGAAGCTCATTCCTTTCTCACCTCTCCCAGCACAGACATTCTGCACTTCCTTCGGCAGAAAAGTGCCCTAATCCCTGTTCTTCTGACACCTTGCATGCTTCAGCAGCAACTGTGTCTGTCTGGCTCTGGGTGACTGATGCAGATGTCCACAGGCCCTCACGGCTCCAGACATCCACCCGTTGATTCAGGCAAGGCTGAAAAGGCTTTCTGGCTGTGACTGAGCTGTGATGGTATTCTCTGGGAAGTTGAAATTCAAAGTAATGATTGCATCCAGGTATCTGGAGGGCTAGGAATTTCACCACAGGGATATATGGTGAAGATTCATATAATGGGTTTGCTAGGACCAGAGCGATCTGATTGCTATCTGGTGCTTAGTTGATCTGCCTAAACTCAGTTTGGGTGGAATTTACACTTTATGGGTCTTGCCCAAAATAAATATCTCGCAAGTGATATGTGTCACATTGGTTTCTAGCAGATGGAAGACATTACAGACTGGGAATAACTTTGTGGGAGTTGTGGCTTGCCTGACTGTCTCCTAAAATAAGGGCACTACCCTTAAGTTTTCTACAGGATTGAATGCTTTTTGTGTGTATGTATCTGTGCGTGTGTGTAAATTAGGAGCTTCACATTCTCAGTAAACAGCACCAGCAAATGGAAGCTGGAGCCACTGTCAAGGCTCGGTATTGATCCTGAACAGTTCAGTGAAATCAAGCCTGAGACTGCAGCCTGCTAGCACTAATAATTAAACTGGTTAGCAATATGGAGCTGCCACTCAGATTTGGACTTATAATGAAATTGTTTAAGAAAAAAAGAGAAAGAAAGAACAAGAATGAATACAAGTCTGTGGTTTGGATTTCCTTTGAAACCTTTTTCTTACAGAGCTCACACATTATTTCCTTTATTATTACTCTGTTTAACTCCTTTGTCATTAGATTTTGTTCCGTACAAATCCAGGTAGAGGTGGATTTTTTTTTGGTTTTTTTTTTTTTTTTTTTTGGCTTTCACTCAATTTGCTGATTTCTTCAGTGACACGAGTGCTGAAATATCTGCCACTGAGCAATGGTTGGAGCTCTTCTTGGTGAACCAAGCCTTTGGGTCTCATGAAGTTAAAGTAGTGATAAAATTTAAGAAAGGTGTCCACAGTTTATTTTAAGCCACTTATATAAGGAAGATTGGGCTTTGCTGACTTACATCAAAATATTGCCCTATAATGCCAGAGTGAAATCATTTTGGGCCACCAGTGACTTTACAGAATAGCAATATCTTTCTCTAGTGTATCAGTGTGATTTGGATTTTTTGCCTTTCCATTGCAAAAATATGCTGGTTGATTTTGTCACATGTCAAAATATCTAGTGAGATATGAACTGCATCAGCAAGAGTGGTCTCTTCCCTGGTGCTGCATGTTCCAGCACGGTTTATGATGTATTATAAGCAGATCAATATTTAATGGACACATTATGCTGTCAAGACAAGAGGGCTTCCTATTCAAATTGAAGTAACTTTGTCTAGAAAATGTCAGAGGAAAAAAACGACCCTCAGATTCAACAGAAAAGTCTCATCCTTCCACCTGGACTCTAGAAAAGATTCCTGTTACTGCCCAGGAACAGGAGATTCTAAAAGGTGGCAAAAAAAGGTATGCTTTGCAATTAAGCATTGATGTATTTCAAACAGTAACTGCCTTTTGACTGTGTTGTTTACGTCACATCCTGTACCCTTGCAATTTTGATTGCTGGTTGATGTATATCTGTGCAAAGACTAACTAAAGAAGAGGAAGACCTCGGACTGGCGCACGAGGAATAAGCAAAGACAATGGTGGAAAAAAGAATGAGCCTGTTCAATGGGGAAAGAAACTCCCAGCCTTCCTGGGGCTGATGGGAAGATCCTGTCTTAAGCACATGTAAAGATACTGTTTTCAGAGGGAAGGCTCTGCCCTCTGAGGAAACAGAAATGGGCAACAGTGCACACATGGAAAGACAGCTTGTTGTGGAGGGGGATATCCTTACATGCAATTGGCTCTTTATTCTCACACATAAGCAGACAGAAAATAGAAAAATATGGCCTCCCTTGGCAAATATGACCCTTTCTAATATATGTTGTCCTTGCAGCCATCTAGTAACTTTGTTGTGCCAGAGTATTATATATAACACTAAGACCTAGTCTATCTTGAAGCTAAGAACACAGTGTGCCACGAGCCATCATCTTACCTTTGCTGTTTCCATCGGGTCCCCGAAGGATTGTGCACTCCTCAATGTTGCCAAATGCCTCAAATAGCCTGCGCACATCATCTTCTGACTGCTGCTTATTAAGCATGCCCACAAAGAGTTTTCTGTCTTCTGGAACAAAATAAAGAGATGCTTACCATATTTCAGAAGGGATTTTAAAGCCAAGATAGCTCAGTATCAAATGCAAAAGAAACAGTGAATTCATTGAGGTGACATATTTCAGAAGCTGTAAGTCATTTCAGGTGCTTGGCTCGAAACACCTTAATAACATCTGACTCTCAGTGAGTACTTGAAAATAATTTGACAATTTCAATGAAAAAAAAAAAAATCTCCCAAACCCAGAAACATTTAAAATGTTTTAACTGCTTCTTGAAACCTAGGCACCAAAGCCTTCCAAATTAGCTTTTTCTGATCAATTTTTTTGCAGTAAGTGAAATAACAACATTGCTCAGACTGCCATCCAAGAGAAACGTGGATAAAGATAGCATACAGAAATAAAGTCCAATTGAAAAATAGCATAAGTTAGTAGCCTTCACAATACTAAATACATTGCAGGAAAAAAAAAAAAAAAGTTTTACATAAGCTGTTTTAAATAAGGATATATCAGAAGCCACAGTCTGTAAATCTAGATTTGTCGTCCATATCCACTCAAAGGCATATACCTTCAAGTTTGGATTATTTTTTAAGTTCACTTAAAATAAGCCCAAAGTTTTTAAAACATGTATTTTTTCTTGAAACATGAAGTTAACTTATATGAATGCTAATATCTGAGGTAGCTTAAGAAAGGTGCTATTTCATGTCAAAGCAGGATGTGGTCTACTGGCAGATATTGTATCTTGAATGAAGACTATTTATACTTGGACTTATATCAAGAATGGAGAGCTGCAGTCCACAACATAACACATTGAGAAAATGCCTGTGGAAACAAACCAGACCACTGAGTACTGAGTTGGTAGAAAGATCTCAGAGATCACTGGGTGATGCATCTGAGTCAGGTTTGTATTCAGAGATCACTACCATTACACCACGTAAGGAACAACAAAAAAAGAAATGTAGGTATTTTATGCCATGTATGTAAACAGGCCCTTTGCAACTGATTCATGAGCATCTCATTTATCATTCATTAAACGGTATGTAAATGAGTCATTCAAGGTTGTTGTTTTTTTTTTTCCCAGAACACTTTACAGAGCAGATGTAACCAATTTGAATAAATATATGTAAATAAATAAATAAATAAATAAATAAATGCATTGGTTTATTTGTTTATTTATTTTTAAATGCATATATTAACCTAAGGCTGAACAAAACATTGGTTTGCAACAACTCTTTGCTGGCTGAGTAATTGAGTGATTTATGTCACTTTTGTTCACCAAGAAATCATTGGTGTAGGCAATCTGTTCTGCTTCAACCAGTGTTTGATCAAAATTCCCCTCTCCAAGATGCACCTGCAAATTGGCAAATTACTCTACAGCCTTGGGCGAGGATAATTTTTCATGCAGTTGATATCTACTGAGGATATTAGGAGTTTTCAGTCCTGCAGTGGAGTTATCCATGTGAACCAAAAGTGTGCTACCTCAGAAAATGAGGAGATACGTTGCTTTCAGTAAGGCTACAGAAGTGATAGGAAAAATAGGTTAAGGAGGATATGTGTGTGTTACTGATGGAAGATAAAAAATAGGGCTATCCTTTCAATAGACATGTTAAAAACAAGAAATACGATTTATGTTGGATTTGATTAGCTACAGGGAGCTCAGTGTCTGCTGGCAGCATGAAGTTGAGGCCTTAATGATGCTTATCAGTGCTGTGTAGTCTATACTCACCTCAAAAGAAGATGCTTTGGACAACCAAAAGGTTCATTTTCTGGATGGATACATCCAGGAGGGAAAATGGTATTGGTGATTAGGCTCAATGAATGGATTGTGAACCACAGGAATTGCATCTGGGGAACTTGTAAAATCACAAGTTTTTTTTCCCCAGAACCATACTTGTCAGATATTCTTTTCCTCAGAATTTTTGGAAACGATTTGAGTAATTTCAATCCAGTAATGTCAAAGAATGAACTAAAAAGTTCGAAGATCCCTGTAAGTCACGGTCCTTGTGGGCCTGAAAGACCGCTTTGGCTTCCCTGGGCCTGTGATGGACCAATGACATTTCTCAGTCAAGTAACCAAGCGGTGGAGAGACAGGCGTGAATTTTGCTTTAGATACATCTCCCCTACTTAACTACTGTTTTCATTTAATACCTTGCAGGTCCCAGTAGAAACCACTTTGCTAGGTGATTAAACTTATGTGCAAAAGAGAGGTTATAACACCTTAGAAAGGCAATAACTAAAGCTGAATGTGTGCTCTGGGGCTGCCTGTAGACTGGGTAAGGACATTGCCCAGGAAAAAGTCTGGCTCCAAAGATTGTCCAGATGACTGGGGAAAGCCCACCTGCAAAGTGAAAACAGCTGTCCTGGAAATGGGAGACACTTGAAGGAGGGAGGAAAGTTTCGGGAGAAAACTGGGAACTCTACGGCAAAAGGCTTTGCCTAAGAAGTCTGTGTCTAGTAAATACTTCCATCTCAGAGGAAGTGTCTGCTATACCGTACTTTACACAGTTTCCCCTGTTTTGAAATAAGCTGCATCAGCAAAAGCTCTCCTATAGCTGTGTAACTGTATTTTCACCAGGCTTTTTTTGCTAATATAAATGTATCATTAAAAAAAAATCACATCCTTCCTCTGTCAGCAGAACTCTCTAGTGTGCAACTGGCCTGAAACTGCCTTGTCTGGCTTAGTTTATGCAAAGCTTAAAACAGGTGTGTTAGGAAACATTTAATTTTATGTTTTATTTTGTTTTATTTTAACCCTATTCTCCATATCTCTGCTGGACACTGAGAGGAGTGATGCCTGCCCCCACAGCCAGTTGGCAGAAGATATGGTGCTTTTGGAAGCTGCACACAAGTGGCCATCAGACCACCAGAAGGCTTTGCTGAGGGTGAAGACTACCTTCCCCAGGCACTGTTGGTCCAGCTGCTCCAGAGGAGGTGACCTAAAGGGATCCCTCAAGGCCAGCCAGCACTCAGCGCAATCTGAGCATCACCCTCAACGCAGTCTCCAAATCATCACCCTCCCTCCCTCCTGAAAAACTGTACCTTGGTTTGTCAGGGGAATCATCTGTCACATCTGCCGTGTCAGAAATCTACACAATCACACACTCGGCTGATAAAAAATGAGTCAGTTTAACTTCTTTTTTTTTTTTTTTGTGTGTGTGTGTGTGTGTGTGTGTGTGTATGTGTGGTGATGTTCTTTTAACAAAGTGCTGCATTTACCTTTCAGATCCCAGCTCAGCAGGGCATTTTAACAATGTCCCTTGAACATCTCAAGTGGGAAGATCGGGAGAAAGGGGCAGCAGCTGGGACCATTCAGCACATTCCTGATCTTGGCTAATGAATTTATCCCCTAATGGGCTTGTGTGAACCTCTCACACCCCGAGTGCCCCCATGTGCTGCTCTGCCAAGGCCCAGACAAAAAGCCAACATGCTGTGCACTGTGGCAACTACTGCTTTGTAAATGTGTCTGAGTAGGGTCACGAGGCTGCTGGTGTGAAATGAGGTGAGGATGGGAAGGAGTCAGCAGGACTTGTCTGAGTGCATGTGCACACTGCAGATGCTCCCCACCAAACTTTTCCAGTGTCCTTGCTCAGACTGTGCTCAGACCATATTCAGACCAGTTTACGTACTACAGAAAACAGAGGTTTATGCTGTAGAGAAGCCTGAAGCAGTTACCTAATCAAGCTGCCTCCAAGCTCTGTAGGATGCAGGCCCACTCTTATAACACCAATGAATCCCAGACTTCTCCCTTTTTCAGCAAGGAACGTACCAAACCTATGTAATATCAGGGCCCTAAATTTTTCAAGTTAGGGAAGAAATCTCACTGGCCTCATAGGAGAGGCAGATGAAAGCAGTCTGAGCAGTCACTCTGCCCTGCAGTGCAAATGTTCAGTGGGATGTCCATGTAAGCCTCGTCTCCCCACATTTTTATTTCACTATTGTTAACCCCATTATTGGCCTTTCCCCATAACCTGAACCGATCATGTTGGGTTGACCCATGGAAATAAACACGGATGGTTACTCCTTTGTGCTATGGTTCTCTGAAAGGCCAAAATTTTTGCTGATTTGCCTCAAGACCCTAACAACGAGTGGCCTGAGACACTTCTATGATGTCAGAAATTAAGTTCATCTTAAGTTGACCCCCTTTTGTTATCTGTAAAGCACACTGACCAATGGAGCCAGCATTCCCTGTTCCTCACAGGAAGAGAGATAGAGAAAGGCTTCAGTAATCATGGAATTTCAGGTGTGACCCCTTGATAACACTTCCAGTGCTCCCACAAAATGAGGTTTCTCTCTTTCTTTTGAAGCTTGCTCGAGTTGGGAAAAACAGGCTGCAAGATACAGTGGTGAAGAAATGTAACTTGTCAGAGAAATATAATGTGTCTATAAATCTCCCCAGCTGTATTTATACAAAGTCTCAACACCTTCCCCAGTGCAAATAGGGGTTAAATTATTCCCTGTTCTATTTGTATTTAAATGTTATGTTTTTATGATAAGCGTAAGGCAGAGGTGTCAGACAGGCCCGGGCGAAGGAGACGGCACGCGTGAAAGGTGAAATAATAGAGCATTGCAAACCAAGTGCCAAGAGGAGATGGGAAGGGGGGACACAGGAGTGAGAGGGAGAAGGGGGAGGACAGTCACTAATTAAAGAGACAGAAGGGACAATGAGATGCAGGATGTTTGACCCTCTGCAGAGCAAAAGGACAAGAACAAGAATCACAGCAATTGTGAAGGGACTGTGGGAAAATTAGGGTCATTCACAGAGAGACATGACACAGGTTTGTGTTTATCCAGATAGCTCTTGCTAATGTATGTGTGTGCGTGGGGGTGCATTTAGATAAAAGCGTATAAATACACTTGTGTTCTCCTATTCCTCATGCAAAACAAAGAGGTTGAATCCTTGTATCAGAAAAGCATCAGCCAGCTTTACCATCAAGAACATTACATCCCAGGCCTTGGAAATAAAGAGACACATCTACCACCTTCGTGGCCCAGACTAATCAGGAGGGCGAACCAG